GTTTGGGGTCGAGCCTATGTCGAGGATAGCAATATCATCTGCATAGCCAAATCTCCAACTACTGCACCCCACGACTTCGGCCGTGTAGAGGAGGAAGAGAATTGGGGATAGGGGCGATCCTTGAGGCAGCCCGCATTCTAGGTGAATTGGGTCTGTTACTCCATCCTCGTGTCTGACGCGGGCGGATCGTTTGTCCAGGAAAGACTTTATTCAAGTATGGCTGGTTTCGGCCACCCAACTTTATTCATCCTTTGTACCAGCCTTCCGTGGAGTACAGCGTCAAATGCCCCCTGTACGTCCAGAGTGACAAGGACTGCTTTCTTCTGCCTCTTCATTGCATGCTCCACATCATGGATGACGCATGAGACAAGGTCATCAGCAGATCTGCCGGAGAGTGCTCCAAAAAGCTGCTGCGGCACGGCCTTGTGCGAAATGGCGGTGTAAGACATTCGCCTTGCAACTAGTCTCTCAATGCCTTTGCCCAGGGAGGAGAGAAGTGCGATTGGCCTCCATCCTTTAGCTGTGCTGAGATTACGGCTAGGCTTGGTGAGGAGAATTACTTCGGCTAGCTTGAGTGCCTTCGGGAAGTGGTTCAGTCGAAGTGAGCCCTCAAAGAGTACTCTCACTGCTTGTCCAATTGACGGCCAGGCTGTCCTAAGACGAACAGAAATTGCTTCTGCTCCAGGGGCTTTATTCTGGCAGGCCGTTGTGACCCACTTGGCTTCTTCATCAGTGACGCTTAATACCCATGGAAGGTTTCCGCGTCCTGGCTCGAAGTTCTCAGCGTCGACGTCGTTCTGACTGGTGAACCGGCCGAGAAGGAGGTCGCGCAATAGAAGTGCACAATTTCCTGGATCTGAGACAAAACTATCCGGAGTTTGGAGTGGTGGAGCAGCAGATGTAGGTTGCGGTTTAGCCCAGCGTTCCATCTGTGTAACGGCTGTTAAGCCTAGGGATTCCTGTAGCCTACGCTGGCTAGCGCAGGCAATGAATGCAAGGGAATCTTCGGGAAGGATCTCGGAATACAAGGAGCTTAGAAGATTCTCAATGAACTTTCTGGAAGCATACTGAAGGTTCATGAGGACGACAGGTGTATCAAGAATCTTCTAGGGTATTGTCGAGGATTCCATGTTATTCCAGATATAGGGAGAACCTTACAGAAGAGGAGTATCTCAGAGTGTATATATATTTGTATTCTAGCTATAGGAATTCTCTCTCTAGAGAATTATAATTAATATACTGTACCTACAAGATCGCCCAAGCATGTTGTACTGAAACCGTGACAATCTGATACATTTCGACATCAGTTGTGGCTTCGGAGAACTTTCGCTGCCAGTATTGGCGTTTCGCACTTCTGACTATGCGATGGAAATCCTTTCTGCTCTCTTCGTCCCTGAATATCCTGTATTCGCGTTTGGCCTGTGAACACTCCAAAGTCCACCGAGGTGCCGTCCTACCCTTCTTCGCACTACCGTGTCTTCCAATAGCTCTGATAGCATTGCTGATGATTTGAGCCAGCTTATCAGCAAAGTTGTCCACCGCACTTGTTGAGACCATAGGCTGCATCCCTATTCCATGGGCCCACCTACCTAGTACCTTGGCAAATTCTTCGAGGGCGTTGTCTGGTACTTGGAATGGTTGGCCAGTTTTAATGATAGCTCTAGCTTTCGAGTTCGGGCGGGGAACGTCGCCTGCAAGCGTTCTGTGATCCGATTGAGTCAATCTCTGTCGAGACATCTGCAAGGGCACCAGCGTTAGACTAGACCAGGTCGAGTGTGTTTCCAAGATCGTGTGTCGGGACGCCCGGTGTGGAAGATAGATCCTTACCGTGCTCGAACATCCACTCGGTAAGCAACTGGCCGTCGTCGTGTAGCCTAGTAGCCATTGGCTGCCAGTCAGGGTGAACGGAATTGAAGTCTCCGCAAATAACTGTAGGCCTAGATGGAGCCCATGACAGCAGCAGCAAAATGTCTATTCCAGGAGCGCGGTATACGGAGACAAATGTGACTCCTTCTGCCTTTACTGCGGTGAGATCCGGTGATGTCTCGCAGATTGCTTGCTGTTGGCACTTGATCCCTTTTCGTGTATAGATGAGGGAGCGTGGCCTTGAGGGGTTGGTAGCGGCATGGGAGGCAAATGCCCATCGAATCCTGGATTCGACTTGGTGAGCCAGAAGTCGTCCTTACGTTGGGTCGAGGGTTTCTAGATAAGTAGGACATCGGTTCCCGAATCCCAAGCGGATTGCAGGATGATGTCCGTAGCGGGGTCTCCTCTGCCCAAGTTAGCACAGAGGAACAATATTGTTGTTGCCGTTTTTTGAAGCTCGGTTTGATTGTGGTCCCTTACGGGCATTGAGCAACGTTTGTATTTTCGATTTCGGCAGTCGCCTCGGTGGCTTTCTGCTTTGCTTCCATCTCTCTAATAGAAGCGTTCCGTTCCTTTTGACCTTGTTCGCGAATTACTGCCAGCTGGTCTCTTGTGTGCTGTACCGTTTTGCCACCAACCCGCGTCAGCCTTGCCATGCAGCTAGGCTCGACGGCAGAATGTGGTCCATGGCAGTTGATGCATCTCGGGATAGCCTAATTATAATCGGTGGCCTTGTGCTCGATAGAGCCGCATGGTGAACAGCGTTTCGCTCGCGAGCAGATCTTTGTAGGGTGGTGTCCCCAACATCAGTTGTGTCAGAAGCGGCATGTAGATGGCGGAGCAGAGACAAGAATCAATTCAAGAAGGCCAGGCAAGAGTTTGCCATCCTACATTATGCATGAGATAGGTGCATAACCACTCGACCAAAAGGCCAGACCAGAATCAAATAACGCTAAAATCTGGTTATCTCCACACATATAGATTATATAGTAGGCATTCCTGACAGGTTGCATTGAGCAATTTTTGGCTTGCGCTAGAGTTCATGCAGCCGACCACTTTCGTCAAATAGTCGTTCACTAAGCTTTGGTTTCCCTGTTGCAAAGTGTAGCACCCAGTCTATTGATGGCCTTGCCATGCTATTCGCAAAAGCGCGAGCAAATATTGGTCTGATGCCGGTTTTGAGGGTGGCTTCTTCGATCACCATTTCTAGTGTGACTGGCACTGGTCCCTCGAAGGTATATAGCCTGTCTGGAATATTGGGTGCAAGGACTGAGATCCAATTGGACGCGGCTTCCAACTCCATTTCAGAGCTGTCTAGGATATTAGCTCCTGTGACAGAAACCGAGTTGGTTGTGAATAAATCGATTTATTAAACTATATGAGGAGAAAAGAGAACTCTAGCTACGACTAACAGGTATTTATAAGAATTGGTCCCCTTCGTCAATCTCCAGACTGATGACTTATCCTTAGGCACAATACTTGCTACCCAGCCACGTATTGCCAGGTGTTGCTTAGTTTTAGTAACGCTTCGACCTCCTGACTAGTAGTGCCGCTTAGTTGTAAATATTCCCAACAATCCGCTTAGGTATTCACCTAAGCTCTAATAGCGGTCAAACCGTAACAGCTCCTGTCAGAAGCGCGCTTCTAGCTCTTTCCCTGCCAGCTTGTAAAGCAAATTCAGTATTCACGACTGTGACTTGTCTGATCGACGAGTTGACCAGGCGTAGTTTACAAGCCAGGCTTATTTTTATGAAATGTGGAGACATTTGTATCCACGGGTGATCAGGTTTAAGCCGTAAGAATACGCGCTCGTCAGCTTTTTCCTGCATCACTGCTGATGCCTTGGGTTTTGATGTGGGCGTGTGGCCAGTGGTTGTTTTTGTGGCAGCTGTAGTTGCTGGCTTAGTCTTTTTATGCACCACCTCTGTCCAGGATCTCTCGGTAGTCTGGTTGGTGGTTTGTTCTGTCCCATGGGTAGGGATTGGTGTTGCAGAAGCAGCCGGTGGTGTGGCTGCTCCTAGTCTCGTGTTTTCCCTGGCGAGGATCTGTACAGGACGCACGACGCTCGCAATAGTCTTCTTCCTCGACTCTTAAGCTGTCTCGAGGCGAGGTTTGATGGTGAGGCCACTAACAGCTTGAGCTGGTGCTGTGGTTTTGGGGGTGGCTATATTGGCCCGCAAAATTTCTGTAATCCGGCTTTGAAGAGCCAAACCGGTGAGATCGATTGCTTGTCGGAACTCTTCATCTGTTGTCGATTCGGGTAAGTTGCAGTACCCGCTAACGATGCGCTCTACTTCCGCAAAACGTTCCTGGAAAGGCCTCGCTTGTTCGGCGAGAAAGTTGGTCATGTTGACGGCCGTGGGATTTGGGCTCAGGTTTGTAGAGCGCTGTTGACTGAGTCTAGTGTGGTGTTGGGTGATGCAGGCGGTAGTGTGTATTGTGGACCGTTGAGATTCATTTCGACGTCCTGGCGCGTCGCGTGTTGGGTGGGGAGAGGTGGCCAGGAGCTAGCCTGTGCGGAGGACTGGGGCGGCATGAGTGATTGAGAAATGAAAATGGCAGTAAGATGTTGTAAATGGAATGCATTATTGTCACTTTGGGTTGCGGAAAATTGTGGTAGGCAGCTGGTCGGGCTCTTTTGTAATTTCTGTAAAGGTAAAGGTCATGGGATAGATTGACGAGCTCTAGTCTGGTGATTGAGATTGTCTAAACAGAGGAAAGGTGACTCTTATCGAGTCTTTTAAATACATAGACATCGTGAATCGCGCATCGGACGCGTGATAGCACGTGACCAAACGATACCGCAACCCACTCTATTCCTTGACAATATCTAGGTGCTATAGGGCGCGCTAGAGCTTCGGGTAGTTCAGTAACGACTGAGCCGTCCAGCACGTGACTAAGGTCAGGAGCTGTGCACTGGCACGACATTAAATCAAAATCAAATCAAGACTTATATGGAGTGCAGCCGTTGAAATGGAGCTTTTATGGCACATATATGGTCGGACTTAATTTGGAAGGGATTTATATAACTATTGTGATTAAGACTTAGAGGGGGTATCAGCAAATAAAAAGAAGCTAGCGAATCTAGGATAACTACATGGTTTCCCGTATTTTGGGGGGTGGGTGGCGTGGCATTAGTCCTCAATAGGATTATTGTGAAAAAGGTCCAAAGTTACCTCATCGTGGCTCCTGTTATTCGTTTCATGTCTTGCCAAACACCGCTTTAATTCACGCTTTCTATTTGCTCTCGTGTTAGAAAAATAAATGCCAGTCAACTTTTTGGAAGAGTTTAACCCCAACATGAAATAGGCCGGATGGTTTCTCTTTCTCGCGCCTGAATTTATTAGCTAATGCAACATGTGGGCAAGCGAAAACTAACTTTGTGTTGGTGTCTCGGGTAATCTTAGTGGCCACAGCCATACGTGTCCTTGCAATGATTGCCGGGGAAATGGCAAATCTTTAACCTTTTTCTCCGTATTTTCATTCTCGTTTTCCTCGTCATCTTTTATTTTCTTGCTCTCCATCAAGTTAATCTTAAAAAAGTCCTTGGCTACTTTGAAGTTTTTAATGATTACTTCATTATCCAGAGATACACCAGAACACTTAAACCTGTCTGTCTTTTTTAGTAGGCGTTCCTCATGGTCATCTGTCTGGTAGCCAATGTGGTTATCGGCATCATATCGGGTGGGGTTTGTAACTCTTGCTTCAGTACAATGATGCCAATTATCAGCTTTGCCATAAAGCATTCCTTGCAATTTGCAATTGTCATCGACAATGCTGACACTTTCATCTCTCAACCCTACAGAAAAAGCGTTAGGCCTGAGAGAAACAATGAGGGTAGTTCCTGAAGCATGTACCTTTATTGTAAGACATTTTAAACATAGTAAGTGGGATTAACCAAAAGTTGTCAGAAGGAAATAGGCCCTTGGGCGCAGGTATCCATGACGAGTTTTTTAAACGAAATTTTCGTTTACAGGCTCGGTTTGTAGCATCTATGACATATTCCTTCGTGACCATAATCTGATCACCGCAGCGGATTCTATCAAGCTCATCTCTAATCATGTACATGCTTGGAATCGGGCCGGGCAGGCTTGCATCTTTTAAAATTTGGGGGCACAGAGATACTGTTCGTCGATCAGTGGTCAGTTTGGCAGGTTTAACGACTACAAGAGCGACAAATTCGCACAAATGCGTAAAGACTACTCGATTATAGCCAGTAGGTCCTGCGCACAAAGTTAATCCATGCAAGCGCTTCAAGACCACAAAGGAATTTGTGGCAGATGTCTCAAAATATTACCATGTCGAAATTTATTTGTACCCAAATTTATAGGCCATGAAAAAAGTACGCGATGACTATATTCAGGGAACAAATAAGACTCTTCAAAGAAGGAGGGAAACACATTGAATTCTAGGGAATATCTCAAGGCTTTGCAGCCATATTTCATGTGAATATTCACGTCTTCCCTTTTAAAGATGGAGTTTTGGCAATTATAGTCAAATCCTTGGCCATTTGTTTCCCTGGTCTGCAACACAGACGTCGATGCTAATACTGCGGAAATGTGGACGAGTAGTGCGATTGAAGTTGATAGTAAAGCTGCTGGATTCAGCATTATTGGCCCTAAAAAACCAGTTTCGCATGTCCAGTATCGACGCTGAAAGGGTGATTGGGTTGTGATAATGTTGGGATGTAGGATAGATTTGAAGCATTTAGATCTACAGACACTTGTGATGAAAATTCAATGAGGCCCCAAATGAATGCGCGGGTGGATCGGAAAGATGTATCTTATCATATAATGCGCATATTGCTATTCACACCGTAGGCCAAGAGCATCCACATGTAATTTAGGATTTTCAATTTGGTGTGTGTCATGGTCGCTATACATCACTTTGATCTCACCAGCCCCATTCAAAAATTATTGGTCCGGGATATATGGTGAAGGCGGGTAATTAGTCTTTGCTCAATCGAACGAGAGGCTCCGGGACGCTATTATCACTCTATTTTCTAGTCATTGTGCATGGATTAGCCAGCATGCAGAATACTTGGTGCGGATGCCAAATTGAATTTGCTTTACTCAAATTGCTCTGGGTAGATATCTTTAGGTTATTACAGAAATTTACAAATTGTTTGAAGGATAAAATACCAAAGTCAATGACTCTCCGACCATGCCCCTGCCTCATTGAGCTGATCAGTAACGTGGAATCTTACTAGAGGTTTTAGTTCATCTCTACCTCGTGTCTATCACCACCTCACAACGATCCCGATGGAAGGCCTGGACGAACGCAATTCCACGAGGATGATCTCTAGGGATGAGATGAGTTCACCAGAAAGACAGGATTTAGCCAGGTAAAAATGAAGAACTGCTCACTTCTACTGGACTCTAGTTTATGCAATTAGACGGAAGTTTGAGATGGATGAAAGGGCATTAGCCGGCAGATACTGTGAGTCAAGAAGCCAAGAGAGTGGATACTCGTTCCTTTTCCGCCGCCGCCGCAACAACAACAACAACAACAACAACAACAACAAGCTGAGACAGGCCTCTCACCCTTGTCAATTTCCCCGCTCCTAAAATTAGAGCGGGAAATTCTGTGAAGCAATAATAGAGTAGAGTTCATCCAAGTCCCTACTGAGTCTGTGATAATGAAGGACTGTGAAACATTAATATCATGCAGGCGATTAGTTGGCGAGGAAGTAAAATTGAGCGAACAGCAAAGAATAGAATTTATGTCCCTACTGAGTCTATGAATATGAGGGACAGCTAAAACTACCTAAATAGCTCTAAATTTAATGGTAAATTTGGATAGTGTTGTGCTTAATAATTGGCGATAGATGATGAGGGTCATGCCCGATTTTGAGCAAACAGCAGAGAAATTCGAGAATAAATTCATGTCGTGGCGTAGCTCCAATTCTATGGTCTTGGATACATATTTATTAGCAAACGAAGGTTTGGAATGGATACGGTGGACACGATTACAAATATTAGTGTCACTATACATATATTCTACTACTACGCGAACCCGTGACTTATTAGCATACTGGGCTCCCGACTGACTCATGTCAAACCTGTTGTAGTGCTCCCGTTTTCTTTTGTTAGTTGAAAGATTATTGATATTTTGCCCATGATGATAATAATAATAATTATTCCCTATCCTGATTTGGCGCGTTGAGGCATATGCAGGTTTTTATCGGAAGAAATGTACATCTAGTAGGATGACTCAAGTTGACATATATAACACTCAAACTCAGATTTCGTTTGCAGATACCACTCGGGGTTAAGCCTTACTGCATATAACTTCTTCCATGCAGACCCACCATAGGGAAAAGCGTGAAAATCTTGTAGCCATCCGAGTGTGCTCTCATCATCCTACAAGTACAATATCACTGCGAGAGGGTGTGGTATGTGGGTTTTACTGGACTCGAACCAGCTTTCTCCTGTCTCGAATGGGGTAGGTGTTCAAGCTACCCAGTATCTTCTTGGGAGAACGGCCCGCATGGTGTACCACTGCACCATCCAACCCTATTACCCATGATAAAAGGCCACTTAGCCCACCATTAATCTTTAAAGTTATTTACCTCCCATGTAAGTCTAAGATTATAGCAGGATGTGTACCATCTCATCATTGAGCCGGGTAATTCCGCCATCTTTTCCACGGAACCTGTGAGACTCTGAGAGTCAGATGAAGAATGTAAAGTAAAAGGGTATTGATGAAATATCTGCTCATCTACGCCTCTCCGGCCTTGTTGCCACACACCCATCTAAAACTAGGCTCAGCAGAGGAAATCTCCTCGTTTCAAAACACTACACAATGAAATTAATTGCATGTGTTGGAGATTTGAAGATCTTCAGCTAGAGTTTTGATCATTGAGAACACCATTTCCTGGGTGAGATGTGAGAGCCCGAGACAGTTGATGCGAGAGGATGTTTCAGCCAAATACCCAATGATTCTTATTATTAGATTCAGGCGGCTCCAAACTATCAGTGGTTTGACAGAATCTTCTATTAAAAAAAAAGTGGTAGCAGTGGAAACTGCGTGCGCGGGAAAAAGTCTCAAAAACCTGCAGGCGCAGCCAGGCGAGGCTTAGACACCAGGGCCACACGAGGTGCGTATATACATGTAAATCTCTCTTCTCCGTAGCTTTAGAGGCCATCTAGATCCAATCCACCCTGGCCGTATCGGGCCCTGAGAACGCTCCGAAAACTCGACGCTTGGCTTATCCTCTATAGCCAGTAGTGGGAAATGAGTAGGGACTCGATCATAACATCTGATCTGAAAGTGGTTAGCTTAGTGGTAATTGTGCTGAGGAATGAAGACGATGCCGACGGCGAGAAAGTTTGGGGATTTCTATGAATGTGAGGACATAGATGTTACTCGATCTCGACCCTGCAGCCTTTACAGTGAGAGCTGGAGGCTCGTGGGAGAGATCGCTATCAGGCGTTGAGCTTTCGTTCCCCGGTGATGGGAGGTGTGCGAAGCAACGAGAGGGAGGTCGATTTGAGAGGCACAAAAAATTTCGGCTTTCAGGCAGGGATAAGCTACATGTCCTAAGTCAACTACAGGATTAGTCCGTTGCTTGAACCTCACTTAGGGTGGAGGTACCTCTTCATGTTTATTCAGTCCAGCTCTTTTCGCCGTCCCGTAGTCGCGCACCTAATATCTGGAGCTTTGGCGTATCACGATGCCCAAGCTATTCTGAACCTGACCCAGACGGCATACCACAATACCATCCGTGCCCACAGTATTTTACAACTGTGAGATGCGGAAGAGGCTATGTAGAGGGGCAGCTCTAACCAGCAACTTTTAAAATCTCCAAATTTGAGTTGAGTGGAGGACCAAATTGCCGCATCGGCTTGTTTCATCTTTTAACACAACCATTGTTCTTACTGCGGCAGTGAAACTACAACCCCCAATACGCCCCCCCTCGAAAATGAATTCTTACCTTGGAGCAAGATGCCCGATCCGAACCGCTCCGATAAAATGGCAACGGTCTTACGCGTCTCAGGCTGCTCGTGCAATGGCACCGCGCCACCTACTCTCGATAGCTGATCTCAGCGCATTGGAGCTCCACAAACTCGTTGAAAATGCATCGGCATGGAAGACGGCGGCAAAGTGTGGCCTCACGGCGCGGGAGAAAGCAAGCGGACTCGCGAGCCAAACAATAGCCATGATTTTTTCCAAGCGCAGCACGCGCACACGAGTTTCTACGGAGGCCGCCGTTACCATGCTTGGCGGGCATCCCATGTTTCTTGGCTCCGGTGACATCCAATTGGGAGTGAATGAATCACGACGCGACAGCGCAATTGTCATCTCGTCCATGACAGCCGGAATTGTCGCGCGAGTCGGAGGCCACTCCGAGGTTGTCGATCTCGCCAAGTTTTCGTCTGTTCCCGTGATAAACGCTCTCTCGAAAGATTTTCACCCCATGCAGACCATTGCCGACATCCTCACCATAAAGGAAGCATTCGTAGGGCGACAAGCTGCACTCCATGGTTTGAAGCTAGCATGGGTTGGTGATGCCAGTAACGTACTCTTCGACCTTGCCATCGGTGCCATGAAACTCGGCATCAATCTTTCGGTCGCCACTCCACCTGGCTACGGCATCCCTACCGCTATACAGAATCTCATCGAGTCTGCAAACACAAGCGGCGCCTCCTTCAGCATGACAAACGTGCCACAAGAGGCTATGAAGGACGCCGACGTCATCGTGACCGACACTTGGATCTCAATGGGACAAGAGGTAGAAGCTGCCGAGAGACGCAAAGCGTTTGCCGGCTATCAAATCACCGAAAATCTTGCCAAACAATCCGGTGCTAAACCTGACTGGAAATTCATGCACTGCTTGCCGCGCCACGAAGATGAAGTAGACGACAATGTGTTCTATGGCCCAAGAAGTCTCGTATTTCCCGAAGCAGAGAATCGGCTATGGAGTGCTGTGAGTGTGCTCGAGAGCTTTGTCGTCAACCGGGGATCCATCGTCTAATATTTGTTTCCGAATTATTCTTCAAATCATCTGTTGGAAAATAAATGTGCCCTGATACTTCAAACTGGATAATTACCTCCTACCGGCACTTGCAGAGAGGATAGTAAGGAGCCGAGGGATAACTAGAATTATAATAACCTTTGTTAAATCATCACAATCCTCCATCTAGTATACTTGGGGCCTTGATAGATTGATGAGCTATGGTGCGATTTGGCGCACTATTCAAGTATTTTTGTACGAGGCTGTAGAGAGAAATAGTCATCAAAAGTTATTTATCGCGACTCAATATTGATCTTTTGCATCTCACATTAGTAGTCCCCGGGCATTTACTATCATAAGAGTGCGCATAGTTCAAGAGACTACAAGTGTATCTGTTGAATTTATGAATGAGGGATTAAACCGTGGACCTGCCGCCTCTAAGCTCCGAATACTAGCACTCTTGTGCGCCTCCATATACGCTGCTTACGACTGTTTTAACTGCAGCAAGCTCTGGCCAGCCGTCGTTCAAATTGCATCGTCAATCTTCCAGTCTTCAATGGGCACACTTTCAGAAATTTCGCAAGTCCTCTAATGTCTATACCTGACCTTTGGCGATATGCAATCCCTCCTCATAACTCGTAGGATAGACACTTATTTTTACATTAGATTTTAATTGTGCATGCAGCAATCTAGCTATGAGATGACATCGGAGAAAAGGTACAGAAAATATGACTCCATCTCCATACAGAGCACTCATGCTTCGGATTTCATCTGCAAGTACCACTGCGAAGTTATAGCGGCTTTTTCTTCACCCCAAGTCAACCCTCATCCGTGAATAGCCACCCAGGGGAACGTCTCAAAAACCCTGAGTTATCCAGACATGCCTCCACCATCATTCAACTTCTCTCCGCGCGAAATGTAATCTGAGATGTCTCCTTCCCAAGTGGAGTAGGTGCCCAGGCTACTCAAACTATACCAGAGAACATCACCAGGAGGCGGAACACAGCACTTTCCACCGTCGGCTTGTTTTTGTAGTGCTAGCTGCACTCTTGCAAGCGATTTCTTGTCGCACGTAAAGCTCAATTCGTGAATCTCCTGGCCAAAATTCAAAATCACACGCCCGTCGAGGTAATATCCATCCTCTGCATCATCTTGTCAATTTGTCCTGACCCCTCTCACCTCCATCCCAAAGAACTGTCTCCCAGATTTGTGCGCCACGCTTTGCTTCCTCCGTCGGGTGTGAATATCGGCGTGCGCGTGTATTTAGTGGCCAGCCGCGGCCAGAGAATAGTCGATAATCGGTGTGGTCATTGAAACGAGGATATACTTAGTCACACTCGTAGACTTGATGGGGCTTGGGTAGGAGTCGAACTCGTTGGGAGTGAAAATTTGACGTGGTGGAGTATTTTGAATCATCGCCTCGTGGGCCAACTTGTTCGGAACTGCGAAATTTGACTCAACTTGGCTCTGGGAGAGTATTCCACGCCTAGGCTCGTAGAGGACACTGCGCCCGGGTGTTCAGTCTCGCCCTCCGTGCTTGGGGCTTAGGCTGTTGTGGTGGACTCGTAGCAAAAGTAATGTCTCATTTATTCCTAGAGACGCTCTCGTATCTTCGACAATCCAAATGATGCGCATACAAGCCCCGCACAAAGTTTTCCGTTCATCATGAAGATCACCGTCCAATAAGCCGTAAGTGGTGCCTGTGCATTCGCGCTTTACGCTCTGCATATTTCAGACAGCCAAGAAGAAGCGCATGTGGATAGAAGTCGAAAGCAAGTATGTGTTGTAAAGGTAAGAGCTTACGGAGGTTAATTGGCAGAAGGTTTACGGATGATTATCGATGAATCAATGTGAACTGCTGATATATTTGATATTCAGACCTATGAGGATTTAGGAGGTAGAAAGCGCTAATTATATACATATCTGAAGTAGCTAGACTCTCGCCTCATTTACCCAAAATAGTATCACGGAATATTCTAGACTCCTCCATCTGGCAGTATAATCCAGAAACACTTTCTATACAATGCTCCATTGTTCCTCTACTCATCATGGAGCTACCTGGAAAGGTCTTCCTTCACCCTCAGTGATCATTACCCTTGTGCATCGTAATCCTAGCCATCACCAGCACAAGAGTATGAGCATATCTACTCTCGGCGGCTCTTAGGGCATGACCCTCAATATCTATTGGTAAACATTGAATATATCAACAAACAACTTTCATATTAAAATTTAGAGCTTTTCACATAGTTTTAGCAGTCCTTCATAGCCGCAGACCCATTTGGGACTTAAATTCTATTCTAATCTCGGCGGCTCGGTGAACCAGTAATATGGATCCCACCATCAAATTAGGGAAACCCCCAATTAGAATGATAAAGAAAATTTGTATATAAATAGTCTGTCCTACATATTTGGAAACTCAAATAGGACATAAATGGATAAATAAAAATACTATCGACGGCCTCTCACAAGTGCCGGTATTTTCGATCTCACACGAATCCTCCACCTCAATCTTGCTACACCACCTCGTCTCAAATACCGATAATAGCGTTGGTAGCGTTAGTCCAATTGCAACAGGGCATTTGCCTCATCGAAAATCGGCCATCTCCCACTACATATTTACGATGCTATGTATACTCGCGAGGAGAAAACTAGGTCATAATCTACAAAGCTCAGGCCTTGGTCTAATAGGGCTTCACGCCTTGAAATAGGACAGGTATCTGAGATGTGGGACGAGCGAGTGAAGAGTTCAGAAATGGAAACACGGAGTGTTGTGGACGTATGGGCCCTCCATTTCGTCTAGGTTCCCGACACGATCTTGTGTGTATTTAAGAGGTTGGAGTAGGTAATATGGTAGCGCTTCAGGCTACCTTTTGGAGACATGAGCGGCTGTATGGCGTGGCCACAAGGAGGTTATTGGGGGTTTTCTATGCCTAGATGGCGCCACACTTGTTTATGCTGTGACTTAGGCTCTGTGTCGCTTACACTTGTACTTGTAGCGCACACTTCCCATAATTCTAGTCCCAATCCGAACATGACCCTCTTTTAGTCAACTTCTACTTTCGTTCCATTAATGTTGCGCCCATTTCATTGCGCAATATTTCCAACAATAGACAGCGATGAAAGATGATGTGGTCCGGCTCCTGGTCATCATCTCCCCAGTCAGAGTCTGGGTAGTCTGGAAACCAACGCAACTCGCGAAAGGGCGGACTGTGAGGCCATATCTCGCGCGGCGGCTACATACAAGATTGCAAAGGCATTTTAGGGTAGCCACTGATTTTTCCTGGTTTCCCTTTGGTGGATATTAACGGTTGAGAGAAGGCTGAAAGTCCCTAGCTCCAAGGTCTCAAGTGGTATCAGCAAATACACCAATAACATGAGTGGTCCGGATGTCAAACTAAGTTATCGTCGTATATAGTCGTCGGGGAAGGACTAGGTTTCTACGTATCATGCTCTATGAGTGCCAGACTTGTAGCTGTCACGAATAAAAATGCATGCATCTATTTGATCTGAATTCTAATCGTATCAGACTAACCAAGGTGGGGTCAAGAGGCAGTATCTCGGGATAAATTAGCTTGGATTAATGGCAGGCCTCCCGTTTCATCGTAGATTAATTTGTATTGTCGGATGAAGCACTCACAAAAGCCTGAGGAGGCGCAGGCTACGTTATCTGTCGAGGTCTGGGGCAGGAAATCGGGCGTCGATCACACTCACTCGGGAGGTCTATAGTGTGGAAATTGTCGGGGCCACAAAGTCCCTTACCGGCCTACAGTGCCTCCAACCTCCTCGTTTGTCTTGATACCGAGGAAACTACCCTCCGTGTTGAGGAAATAATGACCCCTCAATCATTGGGGTTGTAGAGCGCATTGATTCAAGTAACTACCGAAGTGGAACTAAGTACAGAATTTGTAGTCACGTGTGTATCGACAACGTGGCCTACTCGATAGCCCCAATTATTCCAAATTCTAACACTCCGTGTACTATTGGATGCACCAACAGCACCGAGCCTCATAAATTTTCTCTATACTGCAAGCTTCTAGTAAGTCTTGTGCTGGCTCGGTGGGCTTTTTAGGAGAGAGGGGAAAGGAAGATGGGCTGCTGTATTATTTTTATTTTTTTTGCATCAGATTTGAATTGCGTATGCAGCTATCTAGCTATGACACAATATCAAAGAAAATTACAGAACGGATGATTCAACGTAAAGGAAGAGCACTTATGCCTCGGATTTCATTTGCAAGTACCACTGCGAAGTTATGCTGGCTTTTTCTTCACCCCAAGTTAACCCTCATCCGTGAATACCTACCCAGGGGAAACGTCTCAAAAACCGTGAGCTATCCAGACATGCCTCCGTCATCCATTAATTTTTCTCCACGCAAAATATGATCTTAGGTGTCTCCTTCCCGGCTGCTGTATTATTATTATATTTTTTTTTTTGCATCAGTGGCTGCTGTATTAGGAAATGGTGTAAAATACAGGCTGGCGCACAGACGCTGTTCATGTACTTTAAAATCTCTTCACCTGCCGAGTTTGGTGAGCAGTTTCTCCAAATAATCTCATACCTCGCATCATCCACTAGATTATATTATCCATTATTGGAATGCGCATCTGGTATCTCATTCATAGATCACCATTGTCAGTAAGAGTTCACATCTGATACCTACTGACACCCATTGGCCACTGTTGTGACTATGGCGTCTGGGTTGGGTGACCAGTGTATTGGATAGTCGCTGGCACAAATACTCCAGGTACAAGGGTATATCATGTAATCGGTTAAGCGAGCATGTATTTGTACAAACTATTAAAACCTTAGTCCTTGTATTGTGTAGTGATCACTTTAAGGAGTTCTAATATAAAACATGGAAGGTAGACTTGTCTATGAAATCAATTCGTTAGAGGTATAAAATAATTATCCTTAAAAACGGATCCAACACTCGAGATTTACATCTTGAGTGCGGGTCCGTGCACGCTAACAAAACAACCCAATAACCACGTGATAAACAAGCTAATTGTACAGGGTATCTTGC